ACATTACAGCTTTGGCACACTTTGTGTTTTCTAATTCGCATTGTGCTTCTCAGCAGAACTTTTTTCACACAATTATAGCAATATGGAGATTACATGTTGTCGATACACTATACTTTCCAGGTAATTACATTTGTGGTTATATAGTTAGGTATTTAAAGCATGTACCAGCGCCTTGGGACGTCCTCCTGACGTGAAAGGCGCTTTATAAATGGAATCTTGTTGTTGTTGTTGTTGTACCAGCAAGTGATCTTTGTGAAGAGATGTCAAGCTATTATTTAAGATATTTTTCTGCATTTTAAATTCCGTTACAATTAAATTGCTTTGTTAAATTCTTACTTTAGACCCTTTTTTCCAAAAGCTTGAGTTCATTATCACTCTGTGTGATAGTGAATTAGTTTGCTTCATGCAATCACCATTTAACTGCAAATTCACCTGGAACAGTGGTGGATCTTAACAAACTTTGGTCATTTAAATTGCTTCTGTGTTTGCTTTTCTGTTTAATTATCTCCCTAGAACTCCTGACTCAGAATCAGTGTAGGTTCAAATGGGCGCCAGCTGCCAGGTACCTCACCCAAGGCTGGCATTTTTAATGTGTGAGCCAAACACTGAGTGGCAGAAAGCTTTTCCATAATCAAGATCATAGCTTAGCCACATCTTCTTCTCACCTGATGTCCACATATGTACAATTTCCTACTGGGTCACAGGATAGGGGAAACCTGACATGTAAAGAAAGAACTTGTATACCTCATCACATCAAAACATTTACATTTAATTGTTTGTAGTAGCAGATCATGCATATTGTTAATGATTAATTAATCCGGTGGATTGTAGGCCAGGATACCAGGAGAAACTCTCTTTAATGAGATATCTCAGAGGGATCTTAGAGATTGAACAACAATTTGCGGTTATATATCGTCCTTAACGCATGCTAATGTCCTGGGTTCTCAAACAAGGTTTTAAAGGGATTGAGAATGTGTTAGCGTCCAGAGGGACTTGGGTGTCTTTGGACACCAATCACAGAAAGTTAGTCTGCAGTGCAGCAGCAATTAGGAAGGCGAACGGTATGTTAGTATTCATTATGAAAGGATTAGAGTATAAGAGTAAGGAAGTCTTGCTGTAACTGTATAGGGCCCTGGTGAGACCACACCTGGAATACTGTGTGCAGTTTTGGTCTCCTTATTTAAGGAGGGATGTACTTGCCTTGGAGGGGGTACAGCGTAGATTTACTAGGTTAGTACCAGGGATGAAGGGGATGAGTTACGAGGATAGGCTGACCAATTTGGGCCTATATTCTCTGGAATATAGAAGAATTAGAGGGGATCTTATAGAAACCTATAAGATCATCAAAGGGCATAATAGAGTAGATAGTGGGAGATTGTTTCCCCTGGTTGGAGAAACTAAAACCAGGGGTCACAACCTTAAAATCAGAGGCCAGCCCTTTCACACTGAGTTGAGGAAGAACTTCGTCACTCAAAGGGTGGTGAATGTATGGAACTCACTACCCCAAAGGGCTATTGACGCTCAGTCCTTGAACATATTCAAGACTGAGATAGATAGATTTCTTATTGCAAAAGGGATTAAGGGATATGGGGATAAGGCAGGGTTAGGTTATTAGCTGGAGTTAGATTAGAAGATCAGCCATGATTGAATGGCGGGGCAGGCTCGAAGGGCCATATGGCCTACTCCGGCTCATACATGTTATGTTGTTATGTTGAATAACAATTCTTTGGATGAACTAAGACAGCAGGATTGCAAAGGGCAATTTCAGGACAAATGCCATGAAATATTTCTTTACCCAGAGGAAAATTAACAATGGAACAGGTTACCAGGAAGGGTGGTTTAAGCTAGGTCACTGGACTTGAGCTTTTAAAAAAAACACTTGATGCAGGGATGGGAGAATGGTGGGGTAGCATTTTGGAATAATAATAATATAATAATGTATAGTAAAAAAATCCTAATATAAAAAAACCTCCTAATCTCCCCCTTTGCTTTACTAATTATTTTAACTTGATACCATGAAATAAATTCTCGTTAATAATCAAAAACCCTCCTAATTTTAAAGACCTCAATCAGGTCTGCCCTCAACCTTCACTGTTTTAGCGAAAATAGGCTCAGTTCTTAGTCTCTGCTCAAAGGTCGAACTACTCATCCATGCTATCATCTTGTTCCAAAACACTCCCCTGTATCCTCTCTATGGCCCTGACTTCCTTCCTAAAGCAGGATGATCAAAATTGGACACAACACCCTAACTGCTGACTAACAATTTATATCTTAAGCAAAATGTACATAACAACTTGTATTTATGATTACTCTTCGCGAAGGATAATGTATCAGAACACTTTAAAATGGCGGAGTTGAAAGGGGTGGGGAAAGTGACCATAGGCATGGTCAAATAGGTATTGGGGAGTCCTGCAGCTCAGTGGTTAGAGCACTTGCCTTGCAAGCAAAAGACCTGGGTTCAATTCCAGGCAGGGCGAAACCTTGGGCAAGTTTCCTTACTCCACATGCCTGATAATAATCCCTCAAAAAAAAAAATAATAAATTGGTCATTTTCAATCCATGACTGTTTGTGGGACACTGCTGTGTGCAATTGGCTGCTGCATTTTGCCCACAAATATACAGTCAATTCACTTTACAGCATATTCTGTGAAGCGCTTTGGGATGTCTAGAAGATGTGAAAAGCGCTATATCAAATGCAAGGATTATTATTATTATTAGGTGTTGAGGTGAGATTTAAGGTCAGATATTGAGGGGGTGAGGTGATGGGAGAGAGGTTAGGGCCATAGTACCTGAAGCCTTAGACAGATGCAGCATGGAGGGGCCAGGGATCACACAGCAGACCTGTGGTAGCTGAGTGGAGGGGATAAGGAGAGGAGTGAGGTACAAGCAGATCAGAGAGATAGGGGAGGTACATAAATGAGACATGTCACTTAAGATGTCTTGACATAATGATATTTATTCTGTAAGCATCTCCCTCCTAGACAGCATGAAAATGATTGTACAAAACATGACTTTCACACACAGTGTTTCTCATCGATTATGTGTGATCACTTTTTGATCAGGACACTTTCATCATTTTGATAAATTGAATGGTATGTAGCAATGCTAAAAGTCTCTGGTGATTTTATAACCACATGCAGGGTCAATTTTGCAGCATTTCTCAACAGAATTTCTGAAAGAAATCAGTGATGGACTCCTGCCCGTAACAAAATGCATTTTGTTTTGGTCAGCCAGGTGTCTGACACAACAGAAACCCATCACCCATCATCATGCGTAAGAGTATAATAATAATAATAATAATAATAATCCTTGCATTTGATATAGCGCTTTTCACGTCAGGAGGACGTCCCAAAGCGCTTCACAGAACACACTGTAAAGTGAATTGACTGTATATTTGTGGGCGAACGCGGCAGCCAATTGCGCACAGCAATGTCCCACAAACAGTCGTAGATTGAAAATGACCAATTTAATTATTGTTTTTGGTTTTTTGGAGGGATTATTATTAGGCGTGTGGAGTAAGGAAACTTGCCCAAGGTTTCGCCCTGCCTGGAAGGGCAGGGCAGGCAGCCAACCAGTATCCAAACCAAGCTGAGATTTCCATGCGGAAATCCCAGAGATAGATTGTTGGAATGGACTGTGGAGGGCGCATCCTGCTTAAGTATTAGGCGCAGGTTGGCGAGAGCCAAGGCTTGGGAACCCCAGAGTGTGAGTTGGGGTAGCTGCTGGAGTCTACCAACTAAAACCACATAGCTTGCCATTGATATTGATGCTTTCCCACAGCTTGTCCAGCTAGGACCACCCTTAACTGCCAACTCTCTACAGGTGTTCCACATAGACTATGGGTTTTGAGGCCTATCTATTGGTCTACGGGGAAAGCGCTACAGGATATGGGCAGAGATCAGCTAGTGTTTTTCAGGCGAAGTGACAGCATGTGCCTGGGGTGGGGCTGAACCACAATTTGCATGAAAGTGCGAATCATGTGCTTTCATTCAAATGGTATCTGGTGTCTAACATTAATTAATAATATTTATTATTAACATTGCATGTTAATTAACTATTGAGGCTAACATAAAAGGTCGCTTGGTTTAATCTGCAGTTTGAATTGATACAATTTGCACCTATTCAAGCTGCTACTAAGTTTTATTCCACCCCTTACCCCCCAAGAAAATATTCACCCACCACCGAGGTGCTTTGTAGTGCTCAAGCAAATAAATCAGAAAGTCCTGAGAGGGAGTGTAACGTGGCATCCAAAGCCTGTTTGTTTTCTGGTCTCGGAAGTGTCAACCCTACTGACAATGCAACTATCTAAACTCTACTGCTTTTTTAACAAATCTACAGCTGTTTTGCTGAATATCTACTGTGTATTTCTCCTGCAGGGTTAGCGGGTCCGTTGGTAATGTTTAGTGTGAACAAATCACTCTGAACATTGTGTGAGATATTAACTGAGCACTAGGTTTCTCATTCCCACCCCGCCCACCTCACAGAACACTGGCTCACATCAAATATAAAAAATTACAGTGATAATTTACACCGACATACATTATTAAACATCGCAAATTTACTTTATGTTATGTGTGCAAAATTGACCCAACAAGTGATTTCAAAACCAGGATTTTTTTTCAGAAATGCCATGCTTCATTTATACAATACCTTCATGTTGATTCAGTGAGAAATCTGTTCCGAATCAATGCAAAAGCCAAAATATAAGTCAGGCTTGAAATCTGAAAGCCAGTGATTCACACTGCAGGGCGATAGCAGGCTCTGCACTACATATCCTTGCCAGTAGGGCAGGGCAGGCAGCCAACCAGTTTTACAAGGCTCTGCTACTAAGTGACAGCCAGGATTTGCCTTGATTCCTGCAATTGTGCTTGTGAACATGTGTATAAAAAAAAACGTGTATGTGTGTAAATATGTGTGTAAGCATGTGTGTGTACGAGTGTATGAATGTGTGTACGTGCACATGTGTATGAGCGTGTGTGTGAACATGTGAGTGTGCATGTGTGTGTATGAGAATGTGCATGCTTGCTACTGGGTGTGCGAGTGAGTGTGAAAATCTGCATGTTTATATAAGTGTGTGTGTGAGAGTTTGGTTGTGTGTGTGTGTGTTGTGTGTGTGCACATACTTGGGAGTGGGAGGGTAGAAGACAGGAAGAAGAGCCTCCACTTAGTGTCTCCCTCCAACAGCATAAGAGGTCATACAAATGCAGAAACAAGCCCAGGTCCAGACATGTTGTAATGTAGAGCACTGGTTGGGAAGTACCATTATAAAGGCCTAATTTTTTTAGTGATTGGTGTAAGACTTACTCAAGTGTCAGAGGTTTAAGCACAGTGCAGTGAGCAGTGTTTGTAATTCTGTGTTTCAGGACACGTCAGGATCAGGCTCAGCTGTCATGTCCCTTGTGTTGAATGACTTGACTACATTTGCTCTCTGCACTCATCTGTGAACCATGGTCACAGGTGTTAGTGAAAGCAGCCACACCAACCGTACTTCACCTTGAGCAAAACTAAATCCTTCTGTCTGTCTGACTGCACCACCCTCCTCGAGTCTTTGAATTCTTTCTCACCAATTTTCTATCTTTTTATTTTATTTTTGTCTCAGTTTCTTTTTGTCTTACTTTTGCCCTCGCTCGCATTCTCTCTCTGTTCTGTATGGGGAAATCCTCCAAGTCAGGAAGGGATTTCTCACAGACCCCCGTCCACTCAACCCTTTATATATATATATATATATATATAGATATGTATATAAGGAGTCATTGTCACTTGTCAAACTACAAATAGATAACTGGGGTGGTGGGGGAATAGCTGATTTTCTAGGCTGAGCTGTGTAAGTTTGCTGTAAACGAAAGTGCATTAACTGGCACACTGAGCCCTCCCTCAGGAATGTGAGTCACCACCAAAACCATCCTGTGCTGTAGTTAGCCTTGAATGGGGAAGCTGGAGTTGGTATGTCCATCACGATCAGGGGCTCCCATACGGAAGGGAAAGCAGATTCAAGTGCTCCATGTGGGGAAGGCCGCCCTCTGTGGATTCATGCTGAGAAGTTAATGAGCTCTGGGAATAGAGTGAAAAACCTGTCAGAAATGCTAATCAATAAATTGAAATTCTGGAAATAAACAGCAGGTCAGTCCAAGCTTGAAGGGAAGTCAGGTGTGATTATTCAGAGAGGTCAGTCAGTGAACCTCTCCTGAGTCACACCCGAAGTGACTATCAGGGGCTGATCGACCCTCTGCACATTTAGGATTTATTTCTCATTTCCAGTATGTGTTTTTCTTTTTAGGAAAAGCAGTTTGACAGGGAATCAAGGAACTGGAATTTATTGTGGCAAAACACAAAACTCACAGTCACTGCACTTTACAGTAAACGTGAGTAGCACTTTAGGGGGGTTTTCCCTACATGAAAGGCTCTATCAAATCTAAGGATTTATATTATTTTACAGAGTGTGAATATCAGACTTACTTTACTTTTTCTTCCTTAAAAATAGAAATGTTCTGTGCAGAAGGTAGTCATTCAGACCATTGATTTTCTAAACTATCTTTTTTTTAAGTACTATATTAATATTGTTTTCCAGCTCTCTCCTATATCCCAGTGATTTTACTGCTCAGATGCTTTCCTTTCCCTTTTGAATACTTCAATTAATCTGGCCTCAATAGCCACTTGTGACAATGAATTCCACAAACCTGACAACTCTGTGAATGAACAAATTGTTTTCAATCTCTTCCCTGATTCTTTACCCAAGTTTCCTATCAGCCAGCGCTGAACTCTGTGCTCTTAAGTCGTGGAATGAAGTCTGAGTTCAATCAATGAGTTATCAAAAGGAAATTTGATGGATATTTCATATTTCTGCCAATCTGATGAAACGGACCAATCCCTCAAAATAATCTTAAAAATAACCTTGTATTTGATATAACACCTTATCACATTTTGTCAAAATGTTTCAAACTGCTTCATTGGGTTTGCCATGACGTGTAGTGACTATGTATTTTGTAGGCAAATGTGGCGGCCAAAGCTATAGAATGGGATAAATATTCAATAATATCCATTGAAGAAGGTTGGTACCTCAGGGTAGTGATACTGAGCCAAACACGTCAAAAATTCTAGGTTCAATTTCTGCTCTTCTGTGTTAGCTGATCTCAGGCAAAAAGGGTAGACAATATAGACAGCAGGAAGTATTTATTTACTCAGAGGGTAACCAATGAGAGGAACAGGAAGGGTGCATGAGGTCAGAATCCTGGCCTCATTTAAGAGAGAGCTTGAGGGTGTAACAGAATGACGGTATGTTGATACACTGGAAGGAAGGCCTCAAGGCTATTTTCTTGTATCAGTGATGGAGTTTGGCTCTTTTTCTGTTTCCTGATTCATCAGTGTTGTTTCCCTTCTCCCCCCAACACGTGCAGTAACAATTCACCAGAGTAGGGGATGCATATTTCATATAGACTCTTACTTGGGAAGCCAGACTGTGTTGATGAGGTATGTCCATGGCAGCCAGAGAGGGAATTCTGGATTCTGGGATTCTCTTGTTCTCCTTCTTGGGTTTAGAATGCTTGGCTAGGAAATATCAAACCCATTAGTGTTAACCTTCACAGAATAGGAATAAGACAAATGTTGAAGATCAGCTACCTCAGTGATGCTTTCAGCTTCATTTGGGTGAAAGAGAAAGAAAGGCTCAGGGCAACATTCTCCCAGTGCAAGAACACCAAAACATGGCAAAAAACTGAAGAAACCCAAGCTCTTTCTCTCTTTCTTGCCAACAATCATGTCGTGTCTCCTCTTAGCTCTGCTCACTTCAACCAAGGAAGCAACAACAACAACAACAACAACTTGCATTTATATAGCGCCGCTCATGCAGGGTAGCATTCCGGAGTGCCAAGCAGACGAGTCCATACAGTCTGAATGGGAACCACCCATTGGTTCTGCGTTTCAGAGGATTTGTTTTTTTAAAAAAGGTCACTCTGCTGCCCATTTCTGCTGCCTGGCTGTGTCAGTGAGAAACAAGCCATGTAGCCATTTTAATGGGGACTGTCCAGATCCTTGGGCAGTGCAAGGAGAGCAACCAGGAAACTCCCAGTATTAGAGGAATTAGCTATGATCAAGGATGATCCATGCTAGGGCAAGTTAGTATTGACAAGCAATGTATCAGAAGGAACCTTATAGAGGGGTATAACATTTTTAAAAAGATTGAGAAAGTAAACTCAGAACAATGCCTCCAGATGTACAGACAGCAGACTACATGAGAACAAAGTTTCAGGGTTGCAAAGGGCAAGTTCTAGACAATAAGTGTTTTTTACAGAGGGTAATTAACAACTAAACCAGGTTGGCAGAAATGGTGGTCAAGTTGAGGACAGTGGACTCGTTTAAAAAAACTGGTTAACGATGTGGTGGGAGGATGATAGGGTGGGGATCTTCACCCAAATCTTCCCCGTGATTTTGTGAACCTGTATTTGAATCTTTTGTGCTTGGCAAGGTTATGACTGAGCTTTAAGTGGAGCTCTAGTCTCAAGTACTTCACTCACATATTGCACAGAATTTAACACTGTGTCTTACTTTGGCTAGAAAACTAATAAATAAACATAGCTCTATTTCAATGGAAATACAACCTGGAGCACTTCTACTGATCCTAAATGGAAATCAGCTCAGCACAGCTGAGCACAGTGCATCCTCTCTTAACTGCCTGATATCTTAGTAAGGGATTCTGATACAATTCCCGCTGGGAGTAAATCATGCAAAAGAGTTTCCACCGGTCTGTGAGATGGACTGTCATTTACCAGAAGCAGTCCCGCAACTCAGGTTCCTGATACTAAGGAACCCTGTTAAGAAATAGTTTAAATTTCTCGCCCCCAGATGAGGCCTCGGGTGGGCAAGCGGGCAATGACAGGCGCGGGGGTGGGGGGTGGGTGGTCGAAGGCTCGATTGTTCCTGGCGCGGAGACGCCATTTCAAAATCTCCCGCTTAAACTGCCTGCGTGACATTACTTCCATTTCTTTTTTTTACCTTATCCCTGACTTCCTCCTTTGCCGTCCCGTTCATTATCTCTCTCCCTCTCTGGCTTTGGTCCAAACAAAGCCACGAGTACCCTCCCCTCTCTCTCCTCCTCTGACCTGTCTCCCCTCGCCCCGCCATGCCTGCGCGCTGAGCATGTCCTGCTGAATGCTCTGCTCCAGTTCTCTCCATTCGTGTTTTGGCTGCCGCCCCGACCCGATCCACCCCGTGCGTTTCTCACCTCCCGGCTCAACTTCTCAAATGCCCTCCTCGCTGGTCTCCCCAGGTCCACCATCCACAAAATCCAGTTAATCCAAAAGTCCGCCACCCGCATACTCAACTGCACTAAACTTCGTACCCCATCACAGCAGTTCTAGCCAGACTCCACTGATCCCTATAATCGAATGAATCGAATTAATTCTCACACTCATCTTCAAATCCCTTCATGTGCCGATACCTCCCTACCTCTGAGACCTGCTCATCCCCCAACCCACTACCCGCTGCCTTCTCCCGACTGGCTCCAGCCTTCTGCATGTCACTCGTGCCCTTTGTTCCACCATCAGTGGCCACTCTTTCATCCACTATTCCCCATAACTCTAGAACACTCTTCGTCTGTCCCACCACCTTGCCTTTTCCTTCCCCGTCTTCAAGTCGCGCCTGAAGACCTTCATCTTCGACTGTGCCTCTGGTCACCTCCCCCCTCTGCCCAACTTAGCGTTATGCTCCGTCACTATCAAACGCTCTGGGACACTACCCTGTATGAGGGGTGCTATATAAATGCATGTTGTTGTTGAAATAAAACCTTGTGTACTGCAGAAAAGTCAAATTGGACGTGCTGTTACCTTCTGCTCCTCTCAGCTCTGGCAGATGACTGCTGTTGGCCAGCAAATGAACCTCCTTCTCAGATTTAAAGAGCTCCCACCTCTTCTTGCCTGTGATTCCCACCCTTTCCATCATTGTGGCTCGTTCCAGTTTCTCATGTTGAACCTAAAAGAAGTTCAAAAGAATGAACCTAAAAGAACCTAAAAGGAGGAACACATGCTTGCTCCACACAAACACAGTAATATCACTCAGCACATGAGCCCCTATTTATGACAGAATGCATGCTCAAATAAAAGAGCTTGTTCAAATAAAAGAGTCCTGTAGTTCAGTAGTGGAGTCCTGTAGCTCGGTGATTAGAGCACTCACCTCGCAAGCGAGAGATCTGGGTTTGATTTCCAGCAGGGCGAAAACTTGAACAAGTTTCCTTACTCCACATGCCTGATAATAATCTCTCAAAGAAAAAAAACAAAAATAAATTGGTCACTTCATCCCCCACTGTTTGTGGGACACTGCTGTGCGCAATTGGCTGCCTTGTTTCGCCCACAAATATATACAATCAATTCACTTTACAGTATATTCTGTGGAGAGCTTTGAGCCGTCTCGAAGACGTAAAAAGCGAGGCTTATTATTATAACCCACCCACAGTGCAGTAGGGACTGAGCCTCATTCTGTGCTCTCAGATTTGTCTCTTTTTTCCCTAATTTCAGAGCATCAGTCACTAACATCCGCTGGAGGAGAAACTGGTTTCTCTCACACAGGAAAACAAAGAGAGATCACACTGAGCAGACTCACCAGCACCTTCCCAGTCGGTGCTCAGTGCACTTCTCTGACAGGCTGCTTCAGCAATAATACAGGGGGCAGAGTCCTACACAACAAGTTCAACTTGGAGTAATTTCCCTACATGTAAACATCTAAACCTTGAACAAGTTTTTGGTTGGGACGGGTTTAAAGTGATATCCGAGAACAAACTCATCCTGGACCAAACTGCTTTGATACAGCCACTTTCACCCAGTTCCTTTTAATTATTATCTGTACTGTGAGTGCCATTCGCTGGCAGAAGCAGGAACTGCAGGTGCAGTGACAGTTGTAAGGGAGGAGGAAAATCAGTCAGGGTTTTTTTTGGTCAGCCGGGTGAGTTGAAACATGTGGGAAACCCATCAGCATGCTTAAGTGTATCCAAACCAAACAGAATTCAATGCATCCCATCTACACATAGAAATCCCAGATAGATTGTTGGTATGGAATGCGCACTGTCACTGGAGGGACACATCCTGGTTACCTAATTCCGGAAAATATTAGGTGCAGGTTGGCAAGAGCCAAGGCTTGGGGACCCTGAAGTATGAGTTGGGGTGCTGCTGGAGTTTAACCAGTTAAAGCCACATAACTTGCCATTGATACTGCTGTCCAGCAAGCTTGTCCAGCTAAGACCACCAACCCGTTAAGAACATAAGAAATGCTAGATGAAAAAAGACCAAGATCCATCTAGTTTTCCTTCCACCTTCCTGGTGGTCGCATACACTTATGTTCCAAACTACCTATGTGCTATATCCCATAATGTTACTTAAAGTTTTGGATTCAAGCCCCATGGAACCAATACATTGGGTTCAATACTTGGATCCCACATAGTCTTAGCTGACATTTCAATGCAGCGTTGGGGGCATGCTACATTGTTGGGGGTGCCATCCTTCGGATGAAACATTAAATCAGCCTGCCTGTTCAGGTGGATGTTAAATATCTCATGGTGCTATTCGAAAGGGAAGAGAGATTCTCCTGGTGTCCTGACTAACAATCCCCCAAATAAAATTGGTCATTCACTCTGTGACTGTTTGTGGGACATTGCTGACGGAAAATGTGCTGCCGAGTTCGCTCACAAAATACAGTCATTCCACTCTACACTCCTGTGAAGTACTTTGAGACATCCTCCCAACACGCAACTATACATGGATGGAATAGGAAGTCAAAGACAAAGAAGGGAATAATTGGAGAAAAGAGAGAAAGAAAAAAAGGAATGAGTGCCTGGAGCAGAGGAAGCAAGCTCTGTCTATTGGATAAGTAGCACAGTGTTAGATGTCCCAGCTCTTCCCCTTTGGGGTATAACGAGAACCAGATCAGACTACATGAGTGCAGGCAGTCAAGGATTGCCCACAGTGTAACAGTGTGCAACAAGAGCTTAGTGAGGGAAATGAGCATACTGAGCAATACTGCTGTGAGGCAGCCCTTCGTGTGGAGAGTCCCTGGCTTACCGGCCCGTTCAGGCTCATGCTGTGCGAGTTGGATGGAGGTGGCTGGTTTGCTTTTTTCAGGGGGTTTATGTGTTTCTTCAACTTGTTGTTGACCCTAAAGTAAAATGGAACAGAAACAAGAGTTTGTGCTAAATAACAGCACCATCAACTTCTCCTTCCATCATAGTGTGAGGACCCTGGTAACTTCAGGATTGTTAGCAGAGGAATCAGGGAAAGGTGAGAAGGAATCTCTTCATTCAGAGAGTTTTTAGGATGTGGAATTGATTATAAGTGGCTATCGAAGCTGCAGTTTTTTTGGTCAGCCACAAAGCAGTGTTGCCCAGCATGCTGAGTTCCTTCACAAAGAAGCGTCTAATACCTGCAGAAATCCATCACCATGCTCAAGAGTATTAGGCACAAGCCAAGGCTTGGGGCCTGCAGTGAGTGTTTTGGGGTATTGTCGTCTAACCAGCTATTGAGAGCACGGTCTGGCAAACCTCTCACTGCTTGTCCAGTTGGAACCACCCTATCCATTAGGGCTTTGGCTTGCAGGGTTAACAGGAGCTGAGTGGGAGGATTCCCTGCCCCCAGTGACTGGTCTGCTCTTCCAAGTCCTGCAGATGAGCCAGGTTGGCTGCGCTGTCATCAGCAGTGACTTGGAATACTGTGAACGCACCTGCCTCAGGAACTGGATTAGAGACCGTCACAGAGGACTGGCTCCAGTCTAACATTTCTGTTGTCAGCTCATGAATGTTTACCTCCCCCTAGGAGGATAGTAACTGGTTGGTAGGCTGAATCAATAGAACATTTTAAAACAGAACTGGATAAGTACCTGAGCAGTAAAAGTAATACTGGATATGGAAAAAATTCTGGAAAGTGGCATTCATATTTAAAACAAAAGGAAACTTGGAAACACAATTCAGCAGTGGTCCTCCTGAGCTGAAAATATCGAGGTTTCTCTGCCCAGCGGGCTGGTCAGTCACTATCTGACAGAGAAAGGTGAATTCTGAGGGAAGGTCAAACCCAAAATGTTACCATATGTATCACTTGCAAACCAACATTGTGCAATGGCCTTGTTTCCTATTGTGACAGGTCCACCCACCTGAAGCTGGGTTGTGTTGACACAGCGACACCAGGGCTCAGGCTGACCCTGATGCCTGCGGTTGTGACAGGAGGAGGGTTCTGAGGAATAGGAGGGATGCCATTGCTGGGTGGTGAGCTTGTGTGATTGATGCTGCTGCTCAGCTCTCTGAGCAGTGCAGGGGATACCAGCTTGCTGGGACCGAAACCCTGCAGAGCTCCACTGTCAGCAGCCCGCTCGTTCATGTCATTCAAAGCTCGGTCCATCTGCCCAGCCTCCACTTTGGATGGTTTTGTTTTCAGCAGCTTGGTGTCAGATTTAATTTCTTTTGTCTTGACGTCAGAACTTGACTCCTGTATTCAGGGAGGACAACAAGAAGATCAATGCCCTTCCCCTAAAGGATCAACCAATTACTGTGTCCTTAGCACATCCACACTAACCACTATCTAACAGTGCACCGTGAAAAAGGACACAGTCATTGTATAAATTTACATTTCTTCTTACCCTGTCTAAAATACTGGATTAACAAACATTAACAAGTCATTAATAATAAGAATAATCCTTGTATTTGATATAGCCCCTTATCACGTCTTCGAGACGTTTCAGAGTGAGGGCAGGAGTGGGGAATGATAGGAAAGTGTTGAGAAGGAGGAGGGGCTGGAACAACAACAACAAGATTCCATTTATAGAGTGCCTTTCACGTCGGGAGGACGTCCCAAGACCTCTGGAAGGGTACAGAGGTCAGGAGCAAAGCTGAGTAACAGCAAATGTTCATTAAAGAAGATTGGCATTAATTAAATCAAAGGAAGAACTTTCTTAACCCTTTGTATTAATGAATATAAAGAATGTTATAAGAAAGTCAAGCAAGCTTTCCCAAATTGTGACTGGATTATTTCAGTGCCCGCTGACCTCTGCTTTACTAGTGCTTGTGTCTGGTCGTACCTTTGAACTGAACGACTTGTGCTCTTCTCCTGAGGGATAATCTTTATTTCTTTTCCCAATATTTGACTTCTTGGACATCGTAAGGTTCTCTCTCAGGCCCCTCTGATTTCGAGCATCTTGGGAAAATCTACTCAGAAGAATCAACTGTATTACTGCAACACGTTTGGTACTGTCGTAAATAAATATTTATTGCTTGCTGCCTGAGGAAATACAGGGATAATATTTGTGGTGTTCCTTATTTAACACCATCAGATGACAGCACAGCCCTCCAGATAAGTGACTATCATTTGTTTAAATCTCCCTGGATGAATGACATTTTGTAAACTTTATGCCCTATATCAATCTCTATGTTCCTTTTATTGTTGGTTATTTCTTTCGCAGGGATCTGCCAGGGATACAGCAAAAGTCTTCAGTCAAAATATATATACTTTATATATATTGGGCCAGAGGTCTTTGGCCAATTCAATCATCTTCAAAATAAGAGGGATGGTGGGGGCAGGGCACGCAGTGAAAAAGAAGAATCCACTTATCTGGAGGGTGTGTTGCCATTTAGTGGTTTACACCAACATTAAAAACACAACACAGTAAAACTCACATAAGTCTTATCTTTATAAATCGTATAATCTCTTATGTCCCATCCAGTTTCCTACCAAAAACATTTAGATTTCTTTGCACGAGCTTGCACTACTTGTATTTTATTAATCGATAAACAGTTAAAGTGTAAGGGCTTCTTAATCCCAAATAATCCTAAATCTTATGCAAATCATCTCCTAACTTGTAATGTCGCTGCCACACTTATCGACTCCCATTTACAATGCCTGTTTCAAACGTTGCATTGCAGGAAGTCTTAACTTGTCTTATCATGTAATCAGCTGCATTGAAGTACGCACATCCAAAACTCCATTGAAAGTGCAGAAAATGAGTACTTATTTACTGTTATGTTTTAGTCATAAAAAATCCAATTTATGCAAGTTTGCCTGTAACTCATGCTTTGTATAACTTATATTAAATGTTATGGTCCTGACTTTTGTGAGTTTTCTTGTACCACAAATTCTATCCCAAAGAAAACATGGGACGCTCTGCCCTCCTTTTCTTATGCTCCGTAACCATGGGCATTATCTTGCACCAGATGACCAAATTGATCTCTGTATGTTTACAGCATGTACACAGTTCTGAACACATTGCTAATTGTAATTTGGAAGCCAATGGCACCGTTCTTCTTCGATGCTATTGTAAATTCACTCCAAATTAAGGCTGAATTGAATACTTCCAAAATGCTAAGAAAAATGGTTTTAAGCCAGAGAATATTAAAGATATTTGTACCTCAGACATAAGAGAACACAACATTTATATAGCGCCTTTCCTGTCGGGAGAATGTGCTTTCACACAGCTGACTGGAAGCTCGAGCTGGGAGAGGAACAAGGTCAACTCACTAACTCAGCACCAGATGGAGCTCCTCCACTGAGTTAGCAGTTCAAATCACTGCAGAGATGTTTTGTTCATAAAATCACACAAGATTATAATAATAATAATAATAATAATCCTTGCATTTGATATAGCGCTTTTCACGTCGGGAGGACGTCCCAAAGCGCTTCACAGAATATACTGTAAAGTGAATTGACTGTATATTTGTGGGCAAACGCGGCAGCCAATTGCGCACAGCAATGTCCCACAAACAGTCGTAGATTGAAAATGACCAATTTATTATTGTTTTTTGTTTTGGAGGGATTATTATTAGGCGAGTGGAGTAAGGAAACTTGCCCAAGGTTTCGCCCTCTGCCTGGAATTGAACTCAGGTCTCTCGCTTGCAAAGCGAGTGCTCTAACCACTGAGCTACAGGACTCCGATTAGTTTAGATTAGTTCAGATGAAGAAGGTGCACCAGCCCATTTTATCTCATGCCTCTAGAATACCTACCTTCCTTCCGTCACAACTTACAGCTGTTTTTTTAAATGAGTCCAGTGTCTTGGCCTCAACCATTCTTCCTGACAACCTGTTTCACTCATTGATTATCCTCCGAGTAAAGAAAAACTGTCTGGTATCTGTTCTGAATTTGCTTTTTGCAACTCTAAACCTATGTCCTCTTGTTCTACTACCCTGGTGCATCCTAGAGTATTGACCTGGGTTTAATTTTTCAATCCCACTAAACATGCTATACACCTCTAATGACTTCCCCTCTTGGTCATCTTCTCTCAAGACTCAAGAGCCCCAGATTGTCAAATAGTTGCTCATTGCTCACTCCTCTAACATGGGTAATCATCCCCTTTGCTCTCTTTATTGCCTCTATGGCCTGAGCAGTCCCTTATGCCACGGTGACCAGAACTGTCTGCAGTATTCAGCGTGGGGCCTGACCAAAGCCCTGCACCACCTGAGTATGACATCTGGGGATCTGAACTCAACTGATTTAGTAATGTAGCCCAGCATCATGTTTGCCTTGTTCAAATTCAAAAGTGACTGCACATATGATTAAGAGGGAATAAAGTTGAAGGATATGGGAGAACAAACACCAGCCAGACTGGAGGGGCCGAATGGCCTGTTCCTGAGCTGTGTATTTAGGAATCTTTTGCTGCCTCACATTGTTTGTGAGCGATGAGTTGGGCCAATAGAAAAGTGCGGCCATTTTTTTTCACACTACGAACAACCCCCTCCTTTACACCCCTGTAAAAACACAGCAAGCTCAGGGCGCCAGGCCTCTGCACGCTACTGCCAGCTGTTTACTCGACGCTGCTACTGTGGGTGGAGTGAGTCCTGATGCGTATGCGGAAAATGGCCTTCACTCACTCCAAGACCCTGCTGTTGTGATTATCCATGCCTGTCACTCTCTTCTGTTTATTTGTGAGTGTGTCTCTCTGTGTCTGTGTCTCTCTGTGTCTGTGTGTGTATGTCTCTCTCTGTGACTGTGATTATGTGACTCTCTGCATTTGTGACTGTGAGTTTCTTTGTGTCTGTGACTGTGAGTGTGTTTCTCTCTTGTGTCTGTGACTGTGAGTGTGTCTCTGTCTGTGATTGTGAGTGTGTGTCTCTGTCTGTAACTGTGAGTCTCTCTGTGTCTGTGATTGTGAGTGTGTGTCTCTCTCTGTGACTGTGAGTTTCTGTGTCTGTAATTGTGAGTGTGTGTCTCTCTCTGCATCTATATCTGTGAGTGCCCATCTCTCTGCGTCTGTGAGTGTGTATCTGTGATTGTGTCTCTCTCTCTCTGTGGGTGTGTGTATGTCTCTCTCTCTGTGAGTGTGTGTGTCTCTCTGCCTGTGAGTGTGCGCGGTGGCAGCCCCAAGAGGCAGGAGGTAGTGACCTCCTGGAACCCCGCAGTCAGGACACTGGCTGATGTTTGGTAGATCTCCGGGCATTCAAACGTAGTGTGGAATGGGAACAGAACATTCACCCTTCAGGCCTGTGCTGAAGTTCTCCCCACCCCTCCCCCAAGTAGGCCACCAAGGTTTGTTAAAGAAAGCATTGATTGTTTATTAATGTGTGTTTTTTCTTCATGTTTATTCCTCATCAATAAAGTGAAAAAATATAGGTTGGCAGTAAAATATACCTCTCAATAGCAGCAATCAACTCCCCATAATTTTCCTCAAAATTTGGCAAATTTCCCAGCAATTTTTGGCAAATGTTTCACCAACTTTCTATCGGTGCTGGGGTTGAGTCAATTAACACCTCTAGATTTCTTTCAGCTTCCCCTTTGGCAAGTTCTGTCCCATCATGGAGGATTTGTGTTTCCTATTCTTAGTTCCTTTAGTACCTTATTATTGTATTAAACTTAATTTGCCGGTTATCAGCCCATGTGTGTATCCTATCAAGCTCACTTTGTAAAAGTTTTGCTGCTTCCACTGATTCCCTCTAATTTGATTTCTTTGTTTCATATCTCACCTTTTGGAAAATCCATCTATAGTGAAATAGTTATCGTGTAATAATTCTGTGCAGGCGGGTCTTTTATCGGGATCAATTTGTAAACATTTCTAAAATATAAAGAAAAGTAAAAAACCAAGAGCAATGTTAAATCCACAATCTGCGGTATATATACAGTGTAAACATTAAAGCAGATTCCCCAGATTTACACCACCTTCTGCTAGTGAATGATTCCATTACTTTTCTAATTATTGTGGTAACGGTAAGTCTACAGCTGCAGGTATGGTTCTGTAACCTTCTCTGATTGGAAACCACATTTGTTTGTTTCAAGTCTATCAGAACCTCATACATCACTATTGACTCCTGCGTAAGGTCTGCTACATTTTGAGGGATCTTATCAAATCTATTGTTTTGTGTCTTTCAATACCCTGGACTACAGTTCATTGTCCCAGGATATATGTTAGTTGTCAACACCTATGGCCTATCTGGAACATCAGCCTCATGGTATTACATGAGATGCTTTAGATGTTCGACAGTATGTTGCTTTTAACCTCCCTGGTAAAAAGGAAAACCTCCATGAGACAGTTATTTAATATGTTTACCATATTCTCTTTGTCCTCTGTTTAATACTCATGAGGTTCCTTTGTGGTTTAACTGTCAAAAAATTAGAAAGTGTTTTAATCTCTTTTCCTCCCTATCTCCATAGCCTTGTATCAACCTAACCAGTCACACTTTCCCTAAAAGCTTAGAAATTTTTCTTATTTTTGTAAACTTCCTTTTAATTTGTCTGCTGTTCCATTTTGGAGCACATTAACTTTAAGACAATAAAAATCTGTAGAACTCAGCAATAGTGATTAATTTAGGAAAGATAACCAATTGTTTCTTTCAGACTTTTCTCTCCTTTATTTTGTAAATTAAAATAAAAAACTCCAAACATATCTATGTAACTATGGGACTTTACGCAACTAAAGAAACGTGTGATTGTTTGTGCTTGGTTTGAAAAAGAGAAACAGAATATTAATAAACTTGCAATTGTTATATCACGTAATTGAAACATTTCACAGGATTTCACTGCAAAATGTAGTAACTATGTATTTGTAGGCAAAACATAATTCCAGATTGAGATTGAGATATCAATGGAGTTTAGTATAAGAGCCATACATTGACAAACAAGGCAAAATAGATGCAGGTTTGAGAGGAGAATCTAGTCACGCAGCCTGGGACATGGCACTGAAACATCCAAACTGCTTCACCAGATCAGTATCTATTTCACCCATTATTACAAGTGTAACAACTGCATTGATAACACCCGTTATTGCCAGTGAAACTACTACAATTGGTAACATCTGCTATTGCCAGTGTAAGTGGCATTAATAATGCTTAACATCACTTGTATCCATTGCCATCCCCAATCACTCACCAAAGCCACTGCAACATTCACTGTATCACTTACCTTCACTAAGTCTAACACTAAAGGGGAAAGTTTCGGATATCGATTTTGAAGCAGTTCAATGGCTCTGATGTCAGGCAGGTGCAGTCCAGCAAAGAGAGGGTTTTTATAGAAGAGCTCCTGGAGTCTGGGGGTTAAACTGCCTACCAGGGAAGCAAGGAAATAGTTGCGTTTTGAACAAAATAACCTTAGATAATGTTGCAAGGCAAATACAAAGGCAAGTCCTGAAGAAAGGTAGCGAGATTTAACTAAAAGATATTATGTTTCAAAAACCATAACATTGGAACAATTCATGCAGCAACTCTTTCATGAGCAAATTCCTAAATTTTCAATAAAATAAGGAGTGTTTTTTTTCTAACACTCTCAAAGTGCTTCAAATGAAGTAATATTTAATGGAAGATGGTGATGGAATTTCTATAACTCAACAGGAAAAAACTATTGAAGCTGAGCTCATGGCTCAGTTTACACTACAGTCCTCTGATTCTCTCATCATTGTTTTATTATCTATTTAGCCCCACTCCTTACTCTCTCCCCATAACCTTTTATTGTTATTATCAATATTTATCTGTGGTTCATACCACTTACATTACAGAACTTTCTATAACCAAATCTAAAACCACCTGGTAAAGATCAGCAATCTCAACAAGGTCATGGATTTGACCTATGGTGTCTCCCTGGTCTATACGTCTTATTAGACCACCGTGTGTATTTTATTACTGAGCCAGTACTTACAAGGCCTTCCACTGAACCCTACATTAGAGTCAAAACACAGCACTTACCAAAGCATTTCATTATGTGATATAATTGATCGATATCAGAGTCACCAGGGAAGAGCGGTTCTCCTGTCAACATCTCCATCACCAGGCAGCCTATCGCCCACATGTCCACGGCCCTGAAGACAATAGTGGTTACTTCATCATAATATCAGTTCATATCAGTAATATTAGTTATTCTGATTGTAACAATAACTGGGGTATGGTACAACTGTACTATCTGTATCACTTCTCAATGATAGGGCTCCTCAGTCTCCAAAAGACAGGACAGTATAGAAATTTATAAGAGGCTGAATCGTATAAAGCCACCACGGAATAACTCTTTCAGATTTGCCAACATCATGTAGGATATGATGATCAATTCTCCAGGATATGGTGAACAATTCACTCCGAGTTCAACAGATCGTCCTTGGTGGGATCTCTCTGTGGAGCTCACTGACATGTTCACATACAGAGCATCCATTCCCATTTGATCTGAGTTTTGAGTTGAATTTTCATTTATGATGTGACTTGTCCTATTCATCTTCAGCCGTTTAGTGTTTTTATTGGCTGTAAAACCAGTTTGTCAAACTACTTTGCCGTGTATAGAAACCAAATCTGCAAATAGGGCTCTGACTACCTAAGAGAAGAGGAGAAGTTTTAAAGTAAGAAAAGTAACATTAGAATAGATAAAAATAAACTTTAAATATGTAGAAACATTAAAATTAACTTAAAGTTAAAAAAAGGAGAAAGAAGCGCGAACAGAAAAAAAGGACATCAGTACAAGTAATATTTTTAATACGTTATACATATTTTAGTGCTGATGAACATGACAATAATAAAATGATCCTAATATTTGAGTAGCCTCATTATGTAATACTGGTGTTATTTTTCAGCATCAGTGAGTGACTTGAAAATGTACAGATCCAGTCAGCCCACAGAAACTAGAGTTTCTCTATAGCAGTCATCACTTGCAATGTTAAAGAGGTAAAAGGAGATACACCAGAAAAGGCAGGTAATTCTACTGTTAACTTTAAGACAATAAAAATCTGTAGAACTCAGCAATAGTGATTAATTTAGGAAAGAAAATCAATCGTTTCTTTCAGACTTTTCTCTCCTTTATTTTGTAAATTAAAATAAAAAACTTCAAACATATCTATGTAACTATGGGACTTTACGCAACTAAAGAAACGTGTGATTGTTTGTACTTGGTTTGAAAAAGAGAAACAGAATATTAATAAACTTGCAATTGTTATATCACGTAATTGAAACATTTCACAGGATTTCACTGCAAAATGTAGTAACTGTGTATTTGTAGGCAAAACATAATTCCAGATTGAGATATCAATGGCCGACATGGAGTTTAGTAATTTTCTCTTGAAGTAAGAGCCATACGTTGACAAACAAGGCAAAATAGGTGCAGGTTTGAGAGGAGAATCTAGTCACGCAGCCTGGGACATGGCACTGAAACATCCAGATACTGAATAGTAGATTGTTCTAAGGTATTAGAGTGCATTGGTCAGATCACCTCTACTGCTCACAGTATTCACTTAGGCATCACACCACAAAGGATCTTTGGATTAGAAAAAGTACAAATAAAGAGCAACACAACTGATCCCAAATGTAAGCAGAGATGTGCATATGAAGATTAGGGAAACTTAAGCTTTAGTCTAGACAGAATTTAAGAAGTTGATCCCATTAAAGTATCTAAAATATTAAATGGTATAGATAAGTTACACTCTGAAGTAAACCAAAAAAGTGGACCAGAGGATAAAAACAGATATGAATAAAAAGTGCATTTGTGGTAAAAATAAGACAAAATGGGTTTACTCAAGGACTGGAATGTTTGAAATCATCTGCCAAATAAAGTAATGGAGACAGAAATATGGGTTATTCAAAATACAAACTTCAATTAGATGTCATGATGATTATGACATTTGATAAATTGTAAACAACGACAAAGAGAAGTTTGATATTTAGTGGCAGCCAATATGTATACACCGAGTAGAGATGAGACAATACGCTGACCTACACCATACCAATGTTAAAGGTGGGTGGGAAAAACAAGCTGAAACGAAGGTTACTTGAGACTTCACTCAAGGTTGTAATAAAAAATGAGAGAAGGGCAGAAAAGAAGAAACAAAAATCAGGTCTTCTGAGCTTTAGTGAGTTGAGTTAATGGCCTTTCGAGGGGTTCAGTGGGGGACATGAAGCATGCCAATGTTTGTTGAGCAGAGAGAGTGGCAAGATCAAACACACTGAACTCCAGGACAAGAAGATTGAATTTGGTTCACTAGTGGATGGGAAGTCAATAAAGCTCATGAAACCTGGTGCAGTGGAGGACATGGGCTTGAGAGTTCTGGATGATCTGCATCTTGTGTAGGGAGGAGCTGGGGAGTCAGTTGAGCAGGTCATTCAATGGTCAAGCCATGTATGAGCCATAAGCATTTTAAACTAATATAATCTACAAGAATATTACGTTTAACAAACTTCACCACTTGGAAGTACTTTGGAGTTCCTTCAAGAATTTTTACTTATTGGGCCATGTCTGTGTAGAAAGACATGTCAATGTAAAAGTAGTAGCAAAAAAATTACAATAAGCACAAACCAGAGCCCAATGTTGAGCAGAGTGAACTTTTGCCATTGGATGCACAGAATAAGATGCCATCTCTTGCAGTTGCACACATGCCAGCCCACACCAGCCTTGATCAAACACCTACTTGCCATACTTGGTGTCCCCAACTAAGAGCTCAGGGGCTCTGTACCAGCGTGTGGCCACATAATCCGTATAAACCTCTCCAGGAGCTGCTAGTGTCCGAGCAAAGCCAAAATCACACAACTTAACCACACCTGACTGAGACACCAAGATGTTCTCCGGTTTAATGTCACGGTGTATGATCTGAAAGAAAATACAAGCATGATTATACAACATTATCATAAAACAGGGATCCTCCTGTGCTGGTTCCTAAGGGAGCCAGTCCTCCTGTACCAGTTACCAGGGGAGCAGGTTGCAAGGGGAGACAGTCCTCCTGTGCAAGTTGCTAGGGGAGCCAGTCTTCATGTACCGGTTGCTAGGGGATTCAGGCCTCCTGTGCTGGTTGTCAGAGAGCCAGTCCATCCCAAACTAGCACGCACTCTTTCCCAGAGTCACCTTAGTGTGTTCAGTCTAATCTACAGCCAGCGCACAGTCTCTCAAAACTCAACACAGACAGAGGGAAGAGCACAGAATGCACTCATACCTCCCCACAAACACTCACGTTGTGGCTGTGACAGAATCCCATCCCTTGCAGGACTTGGAAGAGATATTTTCTAACTTTGTTGTACCCTAATCCATTCGGGAACTGTTCCAAGTCATCCAGTACAGTGTTATCCACAAACTCGAAGACCAGATACCACCGTTTCTTCTTCCTGCACACTTCAAGCAGGTTCACCAGATTCTCATGTCGCAGTTGCTGGTAAAACAAAAGAACAAAATACAAACATCTTTCTCGGAGAAGCTGAAAATGCCAATTTTATCTGGGGGATTGTTGGCCAGGACACCAAGAGAAACTCCCTTTGCTTTTCAAGTAGCACCACGGGATTTTGAAAGTCCACTGAACAGGCAGACTGGACACCGTTTAACATTTCATCTGAAGGACAGCAGCTCCCCGGCACTGTAATGGAGTGTCAGCCTCGACTATATGAGTTCCACTCTCAGATATTAACAACAGCCACTTGGGCTGGCGCCCATAGAACTATAGTCTCTCAATGCTTACCAGGGGAGGAGATGGTGAAAATGTATTCTCAGATACAATCTGAAATGGAAACCAGAAATACATCTTGCATGTCACGCTAAATGTCGTAATTGTACTCTGGAATAAGATCATCACTGAACAAAAGCTCTTCTACACCAACATGATGTACTACCTCACTTTTAAAAGCTTACACAGCCTCACCCCACCCTACGTCTGTGACTTTTCAGTTAGCACATCATTACCAGTTCACTACAGAAAATACTGCATTTAAGACAACGCTGATGCTTGTTTGTGTAATGCTCCAGTAGTGTTTTGGAACAAAAGAAGCTCTCTCCAAACAGATTTTGAAGTTCTCAGTCTACCATAGCATTGTTGCGCATTTTTCATAGTTCATTTCTCAAACACGCTTAAAGGTGTTAAAGACTGGTGTGTGATGATTCACTTGTTGCTGAACTGTCTTTTTGCTCTGTGGTAGGAGTGCAATGGTCCATTGCCTTGTGCACTCTGAGGCTACAGTACTGATTATTTTATTTGATTGGTCCTTCAGTGTTATTTATTTAATGCGGAAGTGCCAGTCACTGAGCCTTTTGTGCTATCTCTATGGAGTTTCAGTTTATTTATCAGGGTAAATATTAACCTGCAGAGCTGAAAAGCCACTTTGTTAGCTGACTGAACAGTCATGACTTCATAACATAAGACAGTTTCAAACAAAACAATCATCAAACTAATACTCCAGATCAAACATTTTCCTGTGGATAATGGTTTGATAAAGCTTTTAAATTTGGATTAAATCCACATGTTCATTTTGTTTAAATTCTCACTTCCATTTTTCCTACCAATGCTCTGTTATTTTGAATTAAGTTCTATGAATGAAAAGTATAAATCTGGTGTGAACTGCACAATCTGAAAATAATAATAACGATTGTTCATGTCAAGAGGATGTCTCAAAGTGAGTCACCGGATTTATTTTAAAGTGGAGTGACTGTGTTTTGTGGGTGAATGCAGTGCTAAGTCTCACAAACAGCCATGGAGTGAGTGACCAACTTGATTTGAGAGATTGTTGGCCAGGACACTGGAAGAAACTCTGTTCTCTTTTCAAATAGTGCCATGGGATCTTTAATGTCCACCTGAAGAGGTAGACAGGATCCCAACTGGCACAACTCCGCCAATGCCGGCACTGAGGTGTCATCTTACACTATATGAGTTCCTGACCTGATGTGGGCTTGAACCCACAACCTTCTAACTCAGAAGGGAGAGTGCTACCCATTGAACCAGCGAGCCAAAATGATTGTGAAAGATTACCTGCCAACATTACCTTATGGTCATTTCAGCAGGACATTGATTCACATCACTGTAATCCCAATTCCTGAATGGTTATGAACTGCTTTTCTTGCCATTTTCCCACCTTTCTCTCATTAGACATCTTTTTCTTTCCATAAGGTAATCAATTCGTCCAATATTCTCAACCTGGCTCAGATGGAAGCAATCCCGCCCCTGAAAGTTGTGGATTCATCTTTGTAGGACATTGCTGTGCACAGATTGGCTGCTGCATTTTGCCTACAAATACACAGTCAGTTTACAGAAACCTCTGTGAAGTTCTTTGACATATTTTGATATGATAAGGTGCTATAGCAAATTCAAGGATTATTATTATTATTTTATTTCCCAACATTACTTTGGGCCCTTTTCAGGATATTTGTTTGGCAGAGAAATGGCCCTAAAAACAAAATACCAAATATTTTGGTTTGCGAATAGCGGATTTTCAACCCACTCATGTCCCAGTCTCAGTATATTCAGCCGGAAATAGGGGGATTGTAGAAATCAAGTCACGTGGAATTGCTCTTTGCAAATAAAACACAATGGTTGAGGTTTCAACCTTCGGATTTAGCAAGAAACTTCACTTCCAAGAAATTTTAATTGAAAAATGATTCCCGATGAAGTATGATCTTAATCCACCTTTAATTACAGTAATCCAGTCCGGATCAAGCACTGCGGCTTCTGGCTGCCACTGTTGCCAGCTCTCCAAGGTCAGCCAGGCTCCAGAGACACTCAGTAACCACCTCAGTCCAGGATTCATTTCCAAAGTCAAAATATGTCATAGACAGCTGCAGAATAACACCAAATGCTTCACACAACACTAGTGTGTACTGCTGAAGGTAAATTAAGCACATCGCCTTATTCAAGGAATTAGCTGACAAAATAGACACACCGAATCCCACCGCATTCTAAAGCTTGTGTAGGCTTGTCCAGGCACCGAATAATGCTTCAGTGAAAGGATGTTGTTTAAAATGAAACCAAACATGTTAGCTAATACTGTACTATCAGAACTCTGCAGTGTATGAGTATGAATGAATCAGTACATTTAACCAGTGAGCCCATAACATCTATCCCTGTATGTTCCACAAGGCTCTAGGCAGAGTGGCACTCCTGCTGTATAATGACACATTCCCCGATGTGCAAACATTCATCTGTGCAGATGATCTCTGCATTGCCACCCAATCAGAAAGATTGAGGACATTCAGCACATCCTAGCTAACTTCCTGAGTTTACTTGGAGAATACTATCACACATGGTCCCTGAATGCCAACCCTAGCAAGACATAAATAAGTGCGCACCTTCCACCTGAAACACTGTCAGGCCAAGCGAAAATTGCATGTAACATGGGATGGTCCAATCCTCGAGCATTATGAATATCCAGTGTACCTTGGAGTCACATTAGAATGAATGCTGATATTCAAAGACAACATCAGTTCCTGGCTGTGGTTCTTGTGGTGCTGAGCTATGATGATAATGATGATGATTATATCTACAATATGTTTATCAAGTAATCAAATTAGATTTGGATTAGGTCAAAAATTAGATTGAAAAAATGGGACAGATATTTTTAATCTTGAATATGCATCATTCCGTGACTTTGAGCTCACACTCTTATTGCCACTCCAACACATTACCGTCCTGAGAATGAGACATTAAACAGAATCTGCCTGTTCAGGTGGATGTTAAAGATACCATGGCACATTTTGAAAAGAGAAGAGAATTTCTCCCAGTGTCCTGTCAAACAATCCCCCAGATAAAATTAATCATTCATTTAACTGTTGTTTGAGGACATTACTGTGCAAATACTGTCACAAGTTCTTTGAGACATTTTGACGATGTGATAAGGTACTGTATAAATGCAAGGATTATTATTACTATAAATCTCTCATAGTTTCCCACATAAATTACATTCTATTTGATTATATTTCAAACAATCCATAAAATATTAAGTTATCGTCTTTATTTCTCTGATGTAATAAGTGGACACCTGCAGAGAGTCAATACTATGTAACATTATAGTCATGGTTTCGGTATCAATGCCATCCAATGTCTCAGCAACAATTGTTCACAGCCCTGCATTAATAAACTGGATAGTGAGTGCTGAAATGACAAGCTGGGGGTAACAGATGGCAGAGCAATATGATATCTTCACTTCAAAGCTCCCCAAGTCTACTCACCTACACCTTATATTACTTCTCAGTATCTGCAAAGCTTGTACATTCTTAGTCACTATAGCAATCGGCTAATATAGAAGCAAAACAACTGTAGCCCTAACTGGCGGTATCCATAAATATCTGCATCATGAAATGTTATAAAGATGCTTCAATGGCATGGGATAGTGACGATCTCAACAACAAGCCACTGCAGATTAGAGAATGTTCCTTCTGTTACTTGACACTGTAGCACTGAGTACTTACCCTACAAAGCTGCAATCACTTTCCTTCCCACGACAATGGGCGACATATACAGGGCATAGGGGTTGACTTAAAATAGAAATTTCTAGAATATAATGGGTAACCAGAAAGCACAGCACTCCCTAGCTAGAATCATCATATTTCTTGGAACTTTAGCTTACACTTGATTGCTCCCTAAGTTTTGTTGATAAACTAAAGAAGCTGGTTGGCTTCCCTCATCCACAGGACTGTACTTTTAGACATGATACTCATTTTGTTAACCTCCAAAGTGTGGAGTTGAGTGGATCGTTTGGGTCATCGGGTCCCTGCAATGTCATCTCCTGTTTGTGCATATACAAAGTGCGAAGTGATATTGGCACAATCTGATGTCCCTTAATTCGGACATTTTATTTAATACAGGAATATGGCTGACTTCCACTTTACTAATAACATCACTTAGGAACATAGGAACAGGAATAGGCCATTCAGCCCCTCGAGCCTGTTCTGCCATTCTATAAGTTCATGGCTGATCTGTACCTCAACTCCAATTACCCACTCTTACCCCATATCCCTTAATACCCTGACCTAATACCGTTGACCACTTTATCCTCCTCCTTAAATGAATTAAATCCTACCTCTCACACCATCTCCACTTCATCTCCACAAACCATTTCTCCTCCAGCTCCCGCACCGTCTTATGCTGCATTGCTTTAGTCCCCTACTCTTCAATATCTATATGCTCCCTCTTCGTGACATCATTTGTAGACATGGGGTCAACTTCCATATGTATGCGGATGACACTCAACTGTACTTCTCTGCCTCCATCCTTGATTCCAGGACCACTGCTGTCCTGACAGAATGTCTGTCAGACATCAAGTCCAGGACGAGAGCCAACTTTCTTCAGTTGAACGTCAATAAGATTGAAGCTCTCCTGATTGGCTCCTGTCACCATCACCATCCATGGTTGCACAGGATACAGTTCAAGATCCTGGTCCTTACCTCCAAAGCCGTTCATGGCCTTGCTCCCACCCACCTCTGCAACCTCCTAACTCCCTACCAACCTGCTCGCACCCTCCGCTCAGTGGGCTCCAGCCTTCTTCAAGTCCCCCGCCTCACCCGCCACACTATTGGCAGGTGGGCTTTCAGGCACTCTACCCCCACCCCCTCAACTCCATCCCGCAGTCCTTCCGACTCACCCCTTCCCTTGTCTCCTTCAAGACCTGTCTCAAGACCCTCCTCTTCAACCGTGCCTTCGATCACCCTCCCCCTGACCTCCACCCTCCCTGATCCTGTCCCCCAGCTCAGGTCCGAAACACTGCCTTGGGACATCCTCCCGACATGAAAGGCTCTATACAAATGTAATTTTGTTGTTTTTAGTGATTTGTGTAAGTGGACACTCAAATCCCTTTGCTCCACAGTTCTTAGTTTCTCACCATTTAGAAAATATTCTGTTTTGCTATTTTTGGATACATAGTGGATGATCTCACACTTCCCCACATTGAATTCTATCTGCCACAGTTTTACCCACTCACTTAATCTATCTAAGTCCCTTTGCAACTTATTGCTCCCAACCATACAATTTACTGTGCCTCTCTGACATTGTGTCATCTGCAAATTTTGACATAAAACTCTCTATTCCTTCACCCAAGTCACTTATATATATGGTGAAAAGCTGAGGCCCCTGTACAGACCCCTGGGGAACACCACTTGTCACACCTCGCCAATCAGAGAATGTTCCTTTTATCTCTGCTCTGTCTCCTGCCTCCCAACCAATAACCAAGCGACATCACAAGGTTAGATGAAGTTAGATTTGTCAGCCATGACCTACCCTTCACAAATCCATGCTGACACAGAAAAGTAGGAAGGGACGTCAAGGCAACCAAATAAGCCAGAAATCTATCATTTTAGTGTGAAAAGAGAGACAGTCTGTGGGAAGCTATTTGAGTGGTGCTACTGTGTTATAAGCAAGTTCTCACTTTAATGAAGCATTGTAACTGGGCAATAGGAGATGGAAAGTAAGTAGCATTAGTAGTAGTAATAAGTAGTAGTCTGAGGATGTTAGTAACAGGAAGCGACATATCTTTTAAGTACTATAGTACTTATTAAGTACTAAATACAAAATAAAACCAAATGCAAACAAATGACCAAACTGGAGTTTATGGATGTTAGTTGGTTTTAACAGTATTGAATCATTTAGCATTGTGAATTTATAAACTGAACAAGGTCAATATTGTTTGCCAATTATATGTGCACACAACTGGGCACAATCCTCAGTTGATTAATAAACCAGTGTTAAAGTCTCAAGTGTAAGGTTTAGCACCTGGGGGAAATACCATGACCAGCACAGTAGCCTGTCTATAAATAGCTCTATACAAAGAAAATAAACCACAAACCATCAATCTCTGATTACATTCAAAAACACATCTGGTTACATAGCTGTCACAACTTATAACATCATCTAAACTGTTAAAGGCATTACTGGCTGCTTTGTAATTCATTCCCTCTCTCCCATCCATCTTTTACATGGTGCCAGCCTGGCTCAGTTGGCAGCATTCTCTGAGGCAGAAGGTTTAGGCTTCAGGACCCATATCAACAACGATGGCAAATAATATTTGTATAGTGCCTTTCAAGTCAGGAGGACGTCCCAAGACCCTGGACAGTCAGGGATTTAGACCCAATCAGGCAGTTGGGATCAGGAGGGTGGAGAGCAGGGAGTGTAGAGATAGGAGGGTGACCAAAGGCGCGGTTGAAGAGGATGGTCTTGAGACATGCGTTGCAGGAGGCAAGGGAGGGAGCAAGGTGAAGCGAATGTGGGATGGAGTTCCAAAGGTGGAGGCAGAGAGGCTGAAGGCCCGACCGCCAATGGTGGGGTGGGCAGGGTGGGGGACGTGGAGCAGGACGTGGAGAACGGGTCATAGCACAGATGTGCGGTAGAAAGGACAGTTGATGGAAAACAAGATGCTAAGGTTCTGGACTGGCTCAGTGAGGTGGAGTGTGCATCTATGGCTGGTAATGCTGTCAGTGCCTGAGGTGTGAAGGTGCTGACGGGAGCCATCAGGAGAGCCTCGGTTCAACTGTAGAAAGTTGGCTCTCATCCTGGATTTGATGTCTGACAGACATTCTGTCAGGACAGCAGTGGTCCTGGAGTCGAGGGTGGAGGCAGAGAGATAGAGTTGGGTGTCCTCCGCATACATGTGGAAGTTGACCCTATATTTGTGTCTCATGTCACCAAGAGGGAGCATGTAGATGTTGAAGAGAAGAGGACCAAGGACAGAGCATGCACTATGTTAAAGCATAGACCATCGGATTACATAGTGAAATAAATACTGATTTTAGTTACAGCTAATATATATTTCACAATTACAAAAGGTACAAAATAGAATATAATTTAACTGTCTAAGTTAACTTTCAGAAGAATAAGATTCAGCATTTATAGTAGTTTTATTATTAGTGTTTTTTTGTGCTGTGTAGGGTTTCGTGTTTTTTTTTCTGAAGTCAGAATAATTCCTGTGGCCATGTGCTGTAATAAGTGACAACAACAACAACAACAACAACAAGATTCCATTTATAGAGCGCCTTTCACGTCAGGAGGACGTCCCAAGGCGCTGCACAGTTGGGTCATGACCCGAGCAGGGGGAAATGGTCAGGGTGAGGGGAGGAAGGGAGGGAGAGAGGAGGGGGAAATGGTCAGGGTGAGGGGAGGGAAGGGAGGGAGCGAGGAGGAGGAAGAGAGTCGAGAGGGGAGCTGAAGGCACGGTCAAAGACAACATTCCCAGTTTGCTCTGGTCATAATAAAGCTGTTGAATTGGAGTCCAGCTCTTACTTATATGCCTCATAATAGATTATCAACATGTTATAATAATAATCCTTGCATTTGATATAGGGCCTTATCACATCTTTGAGATGTCTCAAAGCGCTTCACAGAATATACTGTAAAGTGAAATGACTATATTTTGTGGGTGAAACATTACAGCCAATCGGGTTTATTATTCCTGGAAAAGTGATCCACCAATCGACTAACAGCCGGGTTTCTATTTATTGCTGGGCAAACAGAGGCATGTGGAGTAAGGAAACTTTCCCAAACTGCCCAGGAATCAAACACAGGTTCTCTTGCGAGGTGATTGCTGTAATCACTAAGCTACAGGACACCAGCAGGCACTGAACTTCTACTTTTTTCCATTGCATCAAAGAGACATTTGCTACATTTCTAAAGCATATGGCTTTGTCCACCACAAACTGAAACTTTTAACCATGAACATATTTAGCAAGTATTAAGACAAAACCCTGTCAAAAATCTCCTGGATGAGATAATCCAATTTCTAATATTTCTGACATTCCAAACATTCAAAACACCATACAAATTACGTCCTTTACACTATATACTGTGAAGTGCTTTTGAGACATCCTCCCAGTGCGAAAATATATCAAATATCAAATATAAGGATTATTATTGATGTCCAAAAACAACTTTTGTTAATAACATTTTAGTGTAAAAGAGTTATTTTCAACTGTTGGTACTGTCTCACTGAAGTATAGAACATACCACAGCAGTGACTGATTTACTGTGATCATCGGTGGCTGATTTACTGTGATCAATGGTGTTGATTTATTGTAATCAGTGGTGACTGACCCAATGTGATCCAATAATCACTGATCCAGTGGTGGTGTGATCTACATTAGTTCAGTCGTGGCTGTGCTTCCCTGTGCTCCAGAGATGCTTGTAATGTTGTTGCGACTGTATTCTGTATCCCACATTAATCCGGGGATACCTCTGCACTTCAGCATTGGAAATATCATTTATGATCTTACCTTTAATAACCTTATTTCCCTCATAGCGATTTTCTTCACCATTTTGTCATCGTCACTCTCTAGAAATTTTTTGATAGCAACGATTCTTCCATTATCCTTGTTCCTGCACTTCATTACCATTCCATAGCTCCCCTCCCCTACCAGTCCCAGGTTTTCATACTTCTCCATATTTTCCGGCATCTACCTATGAACTGTAAGAAAATACACAACATTAAAGCAAGAAATAACTTGCATTTTATTGCACCTTCTCAAGTCGAATTGTCTCAAAGCACTTACTGTCAAGTGTAGTGACTGTTTTTATACGCAAATGTAGCAGCAAATTTGCATACAGCCAAGTACTGCAAACAGCCATGAACAACCAATTTGGGTGGGATCTTTAACATCCACTTGAACAGGCAGACAGCACTTCAATTTAATGTCTCATCCAAAAGACAACAATGTAATGCTCCCCTGTTGCACTAGAAGGTCAACCCAGACTGTGAATTCCAAGTCCTGATGTGGAGAGATGCCTTCTGACTCAGAGGAGAGTGTGCTAAAGAAAGCATGAACGAGAAAAGCTATTCAGCCTATCAAATCCGCTACCTCCATAGCCATGCAATATCTAACGATTACAAACTCACCCCTTCGCTCTGTCTCCAGGGCAAATGTTGCAGTTTTCCCCTTTGAGCCCTTTTTCAATTCAATATACTTTGGTGATGAATGACTCCCAACTATTCTTATAGCACATTTTCTCAAGAAGAGTAACCCGAGCAGAGCAGGGCTGAGAGAGTGAACAGCCAGAATTTACATGTTCAAAATAGGAAGACCCACTGACATTTTGAACGAGCGTCACACCCAGAAGATTCCTGTTCCAATATTTTCTAGTTTATCTCAAACTTACAGCGTCTGCAGTTTTCCTTCTTGTTCCTGTGAGTTAGAGTTCATTCTTCAAAAAACTATTCTCATCTAGTTTTTATTTTCATTTTTCTATAACCTTTACTGTAACAAAAAAAGAAAGGTTTTATGTAAATCTATCAGTAACTAAGGAATACAAAACAGCCAAAGTCAAGCCACAGACAACAATGAGTGAGCCAGACTAGTCCATATGAACACACGTCTGAACAGTGTGGTCACAATTTGTTTGGTCTATCCTCCAGGAAGGAGGAGGAAGGTCAGCGGGGTGTCTTTTGGGCTTTTAGTTCTACGGTGACATGCGTGGTAGTAGAATATCCAATCAAATCAATCTTCTCTGGTGATCTGGCGCCTGAGCCAGGCGTGCCCAGTACTCCAAGGTAATGTTGATGATGACCCAACCAGCTTGCCATATCATCTTGACTTGCAGGAATAGAAGGCAGAGAGTCTTCCTACTTGGCTCCTGTTAATCCTGTGAGCCAAAGCCCGAACAGTATGGTGGTCCTAGCTGGACAAGCAGTGCGACAATGTTCACATTGGCAAACTGCAGGTTTTTAACATGTTAGACTCCAGCAGAACCCCAATACACACTTTGGGGTCCCAAGCCTTGGCTTTTGCCAACATATTCCTAATACTCTCCGAGATTAAATTAGTCAGGTGCATCCCTCCAGGAAAAGAGTGCACATTCTTTTCTAGACAAACGGAAACCATACATATGTGTGACTCTCAGTCTGGTTAGGATACTTTGTTAAGTTTCAGAATGACCAAAAGTATACCAGATTAGTCGTCATCATAAAAGCCGAAAAACCTACAATATGACATTTTCCCACAAGCTTATCATTGGCTCTTCAAAAGGCGGTTGCCAGCAGGACTCTTTATTTACCGGGAACATTAACATGATATCTATTCTGCTTCAGACCCTAATCAGCCAGTCAATCACAAAGGCCATGGAGAATGAGGTCCTGCATTATTGTTACAAATGTTTTGACACACTGATGAAATTACAGCCACTGATACCTTGAAACCCAAAGTACATCAGCACATTCCGAGCAGTTTATGTACAGGCCAATACAAAAGGTGGCTTTGTTGTGGGAAGCATGACTATGTGTTGTAAATCAAACTTTGCCATGTTTACTTACGGAGAGCGAATCTCTCAGGCATCCAAATTGACCAAACTGTAATGTATGACTTCAGGTGTTTATACTTATCCCCTGCTTTAAACCAGCATTTGTTTTGGTTAACTTTATTTCCTCTTCTCTTCATCTAGGATTATGATTGTAAGGGTACCAGCTATTTCACCCCAAGTACTCACTTTCCAGCAGATATCACTACATAGGGATCAGGAGTGTTCATCCTGGCTGATTTGTTTTACTCTCAATAGTCTTTGGGCACTCAAGTGTAGTTATTGCACCCACTGCCACTGAACAGGCCGATGGGACCTCAGATTAATGTCGCATCCAAAGGACACCTTCAACAATGCAGCACACCCCCAGCACTGCATTGGACTGTCAGCTTAGACTATATGAGTTCAAATCTCAACATGGAGCTTGAACCCACACCTTCTGACCCAGCGTGCTCCCACTGAGCCAAGCTTACACACAACTTGCACTGGTATAGCACCCTCTATGCAGGGTAGAATCTTAGAGTGCTTAACGGTGGTGGAGCCTGACTCTGAGCCTGGGGTTGGGGGTGGGGGGCGCGTGACTGTCTATTCGAGGGCAAACATGGCAGCCAACTTGCACACAGCAATATCCCACAAACAGTCATGAAGTGAATGACCGATTTTATCTGACCACCCTCCTGGAGACACTCACTTCGTTTTTGGAATAGTTTCATTGGATCTTTAATGTTTGGCCACCCATGTCCTCACTCACACCAAACTCCACTTGTCTATCACCCAGTCCTTGTCAGGCTCCACTGCTTCCCTGGCTCCAACTGATTGATTTCAAGATCCTCATCCTCACCTACAAATCACTTCATGTCCTTGCATCACCACATCTCTCTGATCTCCTCCTACCGCTCTCCTCCTCTCACATCTTTTATTTGACTAACTCATGCTTGCTGCTCATTCCCTGCCCTCTCTGCATCTCTTTTGGTGGCTGGGGTTTACAATTCTTTATAACCTCTGGAACTTATCTCGCCAACTATGCCGATAGTCGCCTCGCACTTCCCCCTCCCCTGTGCTCGACGACCATCCCCACCCTGTAAAATGCTCCAAGACATTATTCTATATGAATAAAAATTGTTTATGTTGTTTTTATTCTAGGTGGAGAACAAGAGCTAATGAAACAAGATGGAAATGCCGTAGCAACGTTGGAGTATCAGTAACTAAGCAACATGCACTGTATCATAAACTACAGGTTAGTGAGTTAGATATTAGCAGTCAAGAGGAAACCAAATGGGATGTGCCCTCAAGGAACTTGAATCGGGTCAATCATCTGCAAACATATTTACTGAGCAACTACCTGACAGACTGAACCAGACCATATCCTCAAATTACATCCCCATTTGCCCTTGTGGTCTAAGAGTGCAATATATTCAGCAGGTTTGTGGTGGATACAGAGGTGTTCATTAACTTAAATATATGGTGGACTCTCAGATCAAGAAAGCAAGTCTACCAGCTTCTGTCCACTCCTTAAACCCATGAGCAGTCACACAATGCTACTAAAGAATTGACACAGGTATGCAGCTAGGCAGGAAAAGTAATAATAATAATAAAGTAGAGCTGAACAGAGGGCCTGACTGCTTCTCTTAAAGCTGTGTTATCTCCATTGTACTTCACTACCTTCCTCCTCCCTCCCCCCAACTGCAATGGTTCTACAAAAACAGGTACTGTTCAGTTTAGACTATTTACAACATTAATATTTAATCTGATTCTAAGTAACTAAATAATAGTTCTGTAATTCTAACCATAACATATGTACATATATTCATGGAATTAAATCCTGATCTGAGTTATCCATATTACAACTACAGTTTACCAGATGTTCTATTTTTGGGGGATATCTTCTTTCTTGAATTAACACTCAGTTTCTTTCGGCATTTGAGCTGGTAGCATTGGAAATTAAAGCTCTTAAAGTTGGAATACTTCTACTCTACTGCACTCCAAACAATAGCTGCTTTTACCCAGAAATCTGACTGATTGTAAATTTAGAATTCACACCAGTTTACATTACACCACCTCAGGGGGTAGCTCCTGCGGGTGTCTCTCTACACAAATTAGCTGCAGATTCCACAAGCACAGCTTGTTGTCCCAAATGAAAGCTGACAGATTCCTCTACTTTCCAGCAAGTTAACTTCTCTGATGAGTTGGCTCCAAAGTAATATGCTTGTTAACAGAATGTTGGAATGGAATCAATGGCAAGCTGTGTGGTTTTAGTTAGTTAAACTCCAGCAGTATAATGACACATACTTTGGAAAAAGCTTGGCTTTTGCCAACTTGCACCTAATACTCTGCAATTCGGTAACTAGAGTGCAAACCTTCAGGGAGAATGCATGCTTTCCATTCCAAATACAGAGAAGTGTCCATGCGTAGGTGGCATACATATGTAGAACTCTGATTTGCAATGGGTTTTCCCATGATTAAGACATCCAGATGACCAAAACCATAATCCTTTCCTTGCCCATTTTCTACCAGATTATCTTGCCCTTTGTAGATATTCAAAGGCCGATTTTCCAAATGGTAATCTTTTTAACAGTTACAAGATGAATAGCAGTTCAGGCGTTACAAATCTTCTTTGGTGCAGTTAATGTCATTCATATGTTCTGATGAAAGGTTTAACAAGTTAGTAAATGTTTTATCTCTAACAATCAAAAAACAGCAATTGAGGGAAGTCTCAGCATGAGGAAAATCCAAGGAACCTACATCACATCTGCATGTTCCAAAATCCAGATGCCATAATAATATTATTCCTTGCAATTGATATAGCGCCTTATCATGTCTTTGAGTTTTCTTCATTGGAAGATTGATCACTGGAACAATATGTCATTGGAAGCCCCCAACACTTGAATGATCAACCATTGGAATGGTTAACCACTGGAATAATCAACCACTAGAATGATCAACTAATGTAAGGATATTCCCCATGTTAATACTCTGGATCAAGAGCCAATGATCAATGGAAAAGGATGGCTGGTTTCATACCATCGAAGTGAGCAGACTGGCCAGAGAACTAGCAGGCTCTGTCTAGTGCACTACCCAACTCACATGTTTTGCAAAATAACATTATTATGTGTTTGGGTAATTGCTAGCCTCTACAATGATACAAATTTATTCTTAGGTAAGAAACAACAACTTAATAATAATAATAATAATAATCGTTGCATTTGATATAGCGCTTTTCACGTCTTCTAAACGTCTCAAAGCGCTTCACAGAATATATTATAAAGTGAATCAACTCTATTTTTTGTGGGCGAAACGCGGCAGCCAATTGCGCACAACAGTGTCCCACAAACAATCATGGATTGAGTGACCAAATTATTATTGTTGTTTTCTCTTGAAGGATTATGATCAGGCGTGTGGAGTAAGGAAACTTGCCCAAAGTTTCGCCCTGCCGGAAATCAAACCCAGGTCTTTCACTTGTGAGGCGAATGCTCTAACCATTGAGCTACAGGACTCTTTGTAAACAATTGTATATTGTCTTTGATTATGATTGTTGTTGTTGTTTTGAAGCCATCAATACAGTTGCACTAATCCTGTTGTCTTTCTTGAATTTTAAGTTCCTTTGTGAACTTGGTTCAAATAATTTTTCTTCTGCTACTTGGAGAAAATTCTGTACAAAAACAGCATCTTTATATTTTATGAATTCTTGCACATGCTTTAATGTCAAAAATGAGAATGCCTTTGACCTCTGTAGTCCATTTTTTCCTGGCACCAACACAAAATGCCACATTCATTAACATCGGCCAGTATTTAACGACTTAATAATGAAGTGGAATATCTTCATTAACATCTGATCGAGTACCTTAACTTACTATTGACGATGCCCTATCAGAATTTACAGCATTACAGCTGCCCATAAATGGTAGCACTTATTGCTGCATAATTGTGACTATCCTCCGGGGACGGGGGGGGGGCGGGAGGAGAA